AACTCCAAATTAATGATTTGAAAGATATTTTTATTTTTTCAATTTTAAGAAATCGTGTCATATGTTTTGTTAGATTTCTGCAGGTGGGGATCAATTTACAATTAACTTACATAGCAAATCATGGTTTGGAGTTCTTAATTTGTACTACAGTTTTAGTATCCTTTATCCAAAATTCCAAAATCCAAAAGTTTTTCAGGTTCTGACATAAGTGGAAAGTTTCAGAAAGCAACAGTTGCATGATTGTTGTGTTGCAGCATTACAAATAAAATTTTGACTTTTTTTTTCAGTTTTCATTACATTTAAATGTAATCAGAATCCATGTTTTGTTTTTATACAAATACTGTACCTGTGTGCATTGTAACATTTTAATCAAAACACAACATCGTTGGTAGAGACTGATAGCTTACCAATTTTTTCTTTTCACACTCATAGTGATGTCATTGATGATGTATCCGCTCATGTTTTTTGAACATGTACAGAAAGTAACAAAACCATTATTTTTACATGAAATCTTAATTTCACCATTTAAAAATCCGTGTAAGCATTACATGACTAGCATCATGTATCTGCGTATACATAAAATGTATTAAATCTTCTTGAAATCTACCTTCAGAGTATATGTATAAGCTGTGTTATAAAATTTAATGGGATATCATGTTTATTCTTGGGTTCCATTTCCAAGATGCTACATACAAATTAAAATAGCCTGTATTCCAAAAATCCCAAAATATCTGAAAACCAAAGTACTTCTGGTCCCAAGAAGTTCTGATAAAGGATTCTCAAACTGTAATATGAAAAAAAATTGAATAATTAGTTATTACCGTATATACTTAAGTATAGTGTGAGTTTTTATGATCAGGTTTTTTTTTTACACAAAATAGGTGATGAGGGGCTCACTATACATAGGTAATTTTTTTTGAAGATGGTAAAAATCTTGCATTTTTGGTGACTGGTTGCACTATATGCAGGTCATTTTTTCCTGCATTTTTCTGGTAAAATTCATGCATTTTTGGTGACCATAACCTATCTGGTAGGTCTACATTCTCACAGTACCTTTGGATAACTTTAACACAACAGGTAAGCTCCTGCAGCCTAGATTCTTTCTTTCTGTTGTTACATAAACAGCAGAATGTCATTCCCTATGTGTGCCATTTAAAATCTGCAAATACCTTATATAAATGAAGAATTAACGTTTTCTTTCCTTTCTCCAATTTGCATTCATCATTGTTCACATATGTTCACATTGCTGAGGTTATTGCTTAGTTGGCAGCATCTCTTTTGTCTGATATGAATTTATGTAGTGACAAAAGAGAAGAAACTGAGGTAACATAGGAGGCAGGCCCAAGGTACCGTAGTCAGGTATAAGTTAATATAAAAGCAGGGTATCTAAATCTTCATATCAGATATTTTACAGTAAGTAGTTTTTTTTTTGAGACTTAGCAAAATGGGATTTGTATGACTACTTTCCTACTTTTAAACCCAAGACAGAGGCAGAGGAGGCTTATACTTAACATCAGGAAGAGACAACTGAAGTTCTTGGGACACATAATGAGGGAGGAGGGCCTGGAGAATCTGATACTCACAGGTCGAATAGAGGGAAAGAGAGATAAGAGAAAGCAGTGTGTGACATTCCTGGCGGGCTTGATCAGGTGGATGAGAGAACATGGCAGAGGGAAGGAACTTGTTGAGAGCTGCAAAGGATAGAGGGAAGTGGTGAGCCATGATCTCCTATGTCCTGAAAGGACATGGCACATAGAAAGAAAAAAAAAATTTTTTTCTCACAATTTTTGGGTAGCTTTGTACAAAAAAGAATCAAGAACATTTATTTGTTATAAAATATGTCCAAGATGATGACCAGTACTGCAATATTTGACAAAGGTCGGATTATATACAAGCTATACAAGAAGTAGGTTTATACATGAGTATATACTGATACACTGATACAGTGCCTATTTTTCAACTCCACCGAAAATAATCATCACTAGTTATTTCCCTTAGATTAAAAAATGAATGCCTAGAGTTAATTCCCTTTAATAAAATATCTACAAATTTATAGTGAACGTTCAAATTCGTTTTGTTGTTACCTTAACTCCTCAAATTTTATGCTCTTTTGACTCTTTTCATTTTGCCTTTTGATATTAATTATAATGAAGAAAGAAAATTACTTTATTTTTTCACTTTTATTTGCACGAATTAGTTGTAAATATAATATCACAAAAAGTGAAATATCATTTTTAAGTGCTATAAAAGTTGTTTATTTAAATGTGATTTGTTTAAAGGGATTTCTAAATTCACATATAAATAATTCTTTATGCAGAAAGGTAAAGAAGAAAAATTATATTTTTGATTAACCAAACCCATAAGAATTAAAGTTCAGTTTTTGATGTTCTTTATTTTTTATTTAAAAAAGTTTAAAACTTCACTGACACTGAAGTGCAAGGAATGTATGTAGCAGGTGTATAGTTTTCAATTTCCTTTAGTGTCATTTTGGACATATATGAGAAAAGATGGTCATAGCGGAAGCTATGTCTGCCTTGAAGAGTTTTTTTTTCTTTATTTTTTCAGAAATTGATTGAAAGCAGACAACACTAAAACTTAAACACAATAAATACAAGAATAATCTTTAAGCAAAATAAATCTTCTGTAGAAGATGCAAAATGTGACAAATCAGCTTAATGAAGGTGCCATGGAATTTTCAAACAAGGTCAATTGATACTGATTTATTTAATATTACTGAGAACAATTTATTTGGAAGTTTAATTGGATGGAAAATATTAATGTAACATGTTATAGGCAATTTTATTGGATAAATAATATATATATATATATATATATATTGTCGGAGTTAACTCTTCCTTCAGTTCATAACCCTTTCACCAGGGGTCTCTCTTTCCTGGCTATAAATAGCCAATGACCCTTCGCCTCGATCTCTTTTTTCCTTTCAGGCCTGTGCACTGACACCTCGAGGTAAATTTCTCTTATTCCTAGAGGATTTCAACTATCAACCTCGAAATGTAGTCGCTAACAAGGAATAGCGTGGAAACCCGCTAAGCACAATATACGCACACACAGAATATTCACACACGCACGCACGCACATACAGAATATTCACACACACTTCGTCCTTTGTACTGTTTCCATGTATTGTAACTTGTTAATAATATATATTTGTATATACATATATAATCAGTCTTGTTTTGTTTGCTTTCTTTACCTTCTTCTTTGGACTTAATCAAAGTCCAACCTTTTTATGTAGTTGGGCTCGGCGGGCAGGAGTATCTGAACCTTGCGTTTCTTCTACGTCTGACTTCTATCAACAACAAGTGGCAACCGCCATTCCCACAACAAACCGTAACCGCAACGTTCCACTACAATATATATATATATAAATTATGTATTGCTACAAATTTGCTAAAAAATTATTAGTAGTGATAAAAAAAATGGTCCAAGCACAATGAAAACAAAGTTTTATTGGTAAAATCTTTTGTTATTATTAAGAGGAAAGATCAAAGTATAAATATTTAATTAAATTTTTTAATCCTTTTTAGAACATTTGAAATTTTTATTAAAAATCTTGTTTTTCTTGCATCAGCAGACAGACTATAAATTAACATGGTAAATGTTAGCATCTATATGTTAGCATATATATATAATCTTCATTTAAATACCAATAAGAATGCTAAACATTTGAGGTAAAATACATTTTTAAAATAAATTTACACATTCTAGGCTTAAACAGGAATTTAGGCACAATGTACAGTTTCCACCCCCCAAACCACGCACACACACATATATATCATACTAATAATTCTCAAACAATAAAGGCTTATGGCCACATCACAAAACTCTCAATTCCTGTATGATCACTGAAGTTAAGCAAGTTGGCCAGTACCTAGATGAATGACCACTTGGGAATCTCAGGTGCTGTAAGCTTAAATGTGCAGGTGGTGTAATGGATAATCTTTCAAAATTGTTAATTGGAGAATCAAGGTCTGGTAGAATCATTTACACACAAATACCCTTGAAAACAGTATTAATCCACATCTTCTTCCCCCAAGCTATGGGTTAATTAGTAAGACTTGTATCACTAAACCATTATCGCAAAAAAATTCTTACAATCAAAAAATATTTTCTGGCTTTAATTAACCTGCAAAGGGTTGATAAACCATAGAAAACAAAATCAATCAATTAAACAATAAATGACTCGTCACATCCTCATATTTTGTTCAGTTTAACATTTACTACAATGTTTTTCAATTGGTGTGAAAGTGAAGATTCAAATTTCATTATCATTGATCCACTATTAAAATATTACACACAAATTTACTCAAACATTTCATTGGAATTATATTTTTCTTAAATAAAACTACTAAAGATTTTAGGTTTCAATCTTCAGAAATGAAAAAGATTTTATGCTTCACTCCAAAAAAAACAGATTCCAAATAAAGAGCTTATAATTTTCTCTTTATTATTTTATATTTTGTACAGTCTTTTTACACAACACTTATTTAAATTAACAACATTACTTAGAAGAATTACTTTCCTACTTATATAAATGTAAAAACAGTCTTAGCAATAATATAAGCGAAAAACAGCTATAAAAGGCACTGTTAATTTTTTACAGCTAATTCGTTTAAATAATGCACTGACTATTATTTGGTTCATGTGACAATAACTGTAAGTAAAATGTGGCATAATAAGTAACCAAGTTATTGTTTTAAGTTCTCTGAATATCAATGCTGATTTTTTTTATTCTTTCATCTTCTATAAAAAAAAATAGTATATCTAACATTGTCCATTGAAGTTTAGGTTTGAGTCTTTCTGTTGGTCATGTTTTAACAGTATCACAGGAAAAGCTGCAACACATGAAGTGTTATGATTTGGATCAAGATGAATTTAAGCTTTGTTTCAATTTATTATTTGCTTTATTTATCAACAATAAAAAATGATTTTTTATTGAGATATACACTTTAATTAAAATTTTTTTTTTTTTTTGTCAGGCTATATTATTGGAGACCCAATATGGAGTGGTACAGCTGTTACAAATGAAACCACTGAAAAACAACTTTATGTTAATCAGCATGAAAGCCAACAAATGCATGTGTGGGAACCATGTATGTTCTTTTTACATGAACTAACATGTTTTTTATATCCAATCTTTCTTAACAAATCATGTAATGAAATTCATCTTGAATGGCCACTCTTCTAGATCCTTTCACATTTATACAGGTGTCACCCAGGACTATATCCTTGGACCTACATTGTTTCCTATCTTCATCGATGACCTTCACAATGTCATCAGTTCTCAACTTGAAATTTATGCTGATGACTGAACTATTTATTCCTGTTATAATAATAAGTCCAGTAGGTTTGATAAAGTAAAACTGGCAGCTGATCTTGAAAATTATCTCCAACGAGTTGTTAAATGGGGCAAGAAATGGCTTGAGAATTTCAATGTCTCCAAAAAAATTTCTATCTTTTCGTCATCATAGAGAACTATTTCTGCCTCCAATCAGTATGGCTAAAGACAGGAGAGCAACTCATTGAGCCTTCTTGATTTCATGTTTTCCACTGACATGAAGTGAACTGATTACATTAAATCAATTGCTAGGTCAGCTGCTAGAAAAGTTGGCTCACTGTGTTGTGCCAGACAATTTTTCTTGCCAGAATCCATCTTGCATATTTATAAATCTAACATTCATCTATGCATTGAATGTTGCTGCCATATCTGGTCTGATGCTCATACTATATATCGCAAGATTCTTGACAAAATCTAAAATTGGATCTGTAATGTTATTGGTCTTGACCTGGCATCTCAACTTCAGTCACATTTCAACCACTGTGACATGGAGTCTTTTCTATGAACATTTTCATGGCAATTGTTCTAATGAGCTTCTCTCCTTGGTATCATGACTGCATGAAGTGTACTACTAAATTGATATGACTTGATATTTCTTGTTTGTTATCCAATTACAACAGAGAGCATATTAAGACACAGAGCCATTGTTCCTATGCAAGCACCAGTCCACATCCTGATCAAGTTCAATGATGCTTAATATCCAACTATCATCAGTTGCTAGATGGAAACTCCTTAGGTTGGGGATAATTTTGTCAATTGATAGAAGTATTCTTGGATAGTATATTGGAAGGGGCAGTGGAGTAAGTTGAAAATGGGGTAATGTTGACTATTTCCTACTGTCCACCTGTGCCCTGATTGATGACTACCATATCTTGGTCACCTATGTCTCGCTAGTCTGCCTGACTGCCCCATTTTAGGCACCTGTATCTCTATTGATACCCATACCTGTTCTTGTCTACCTGACGACCTCAACATGTCCACTTATACTACTGTTGATGATGGCCACATCTCATCCACCTGTATTTCTGTTGATGATTGCTTCATCTTGTTCACCTGTATTCCTGATGATTACTCCATTTCATACAAATGCACCCATATAGATGATTGCCCCATCCCATCCACCTTGTGTCCCAGTTGATGACTGCCCAATCTCATCTACCTCTGTCCTAGTTCATACCTAACACATCTCAACTGCCTCTGTCTCTGTTGATAACTGCCCCATTTCATCTGTCTCTGTTCCAGTTGACAACTGCCCCATCTCATCTGCCTCATCTTGTCCATCTGTGCTGACATTAATGATTGCCTGATCTTGTTCACCTGTATTCCTGATGATTGCTCCATCTTATTCATATATGCCCCTGTTGATGACTGCCCCATCTCATCCACCTGCTTCCCCGTTGATAACTACCCCATCTCATCTGCCTCATCTTGACCATCTGTGCTAACATTAATGATTGCCTGATCTTGTTCACCTGTATTCCTGATGATTGCTCCATCTTATTCATATATGCCCCTGTTGATGACTGCCCCATCTCATCCAACCTGCTTCCCCTGTTGATAACTACCCCATCTCATCTGCCTCATCTTGTCCATCTGTGCTATATTAATGATTGCCTGATCTTGTTCACCTGTATTCCAGATGATTGCTCCATCTTATTCATATATGCCCCTGTTGATGACTGCCCCATCTCATCCACCTGCTTCCCTGTTGATAACTACCCATCTCATCTGCCTCATCTTGTCCATCTGTGCTGATATTAATGATTGCCTGATCTTGTTCACCTGTATTCCTGATGATTGCTCCATCTTATTCATATATGCCCCTGTTGATGACTGCCCCATCTCATCCACCTTTCCCTGTTGATAACTACCCCATCTCATCTGCCTCATCTTGTCCATCTGTGCTGACATTAATGATTGCCTGATCTTGTTCACCTGTTTCCTGATGATTGCTCCATCTTATTCATATATATGCCCCTGTTGATGACTGCCCCATCTCATCCACCTGCTTCCCTGTTGATAACTACCCCATCTCATCTGCCTCATCTTGTCCATCTGTGCTGACATTAATGATTGCCTGATCTTGTTCACCTGTATTCCTGATGATTGCTCCATCTTATTCATATATGCCCCTGTTGATGACTGCCCCATCTCATCCACCTGCTTCCCTGTTGATAACTACCCATCTCATCTGCCTCATCTTGTCCATCTGTGCTGACATTAATGATTGCCTGATCTTGTTCACCTGTATTCCTGATGATTGCTCCATCTTATTCATATATGCCCCTGTTGATGACTGCCCCATCTCATCCCCTGCTTCCCTGTTGATAACTACCCCATCTCATCTGCCTCATCTTGTCCATCTGTGCTGACATTAATGATTGCCTGATCTTGTTCACCTGTATTCCTGATGATTGCTCCATCTTATTCATATATGCCCCTGTTGATGACTGCCCCATCTCATCCCCCTGCTTCCCTGTTGATAACTACCCCATCTCATCTGCCTCATCTTCTCCATCTGTGCTGACATTAATGATTGCCTGATCTTGTTCACCTGTATTCCTGATGATTGCTCCATCTTATTCATATATGCCCCTGTTGATGACTGCCCCATCTCATCCACCTGCTTCTCTGTTGATAACTACCCTATCTCATCTGCCTCATCTTGTCCATCTGTGCTGACATTAATGATTGCCTGATCTTGTTCACCTGTATTCCTGATGATTGCTCCATCTTATTCATATATGCCTCTGTTGATGACTGCCCCATCTCATCCCCCTGCTTCCCTGTTGATAACTACCCCATCTCATCTACCTCATCTTGTCCATCTGTGCTGACATTAATGATTGCCTGATCTTGTTCACCTGTATTCCTGATGATTGCTCCATCTTATTCATATATACCCCTGTTGATGACTGCCCCATCTCATCCACCTGCTTCCCTGTTGATAACTACCCATCTCATCTGCCTCATCTTGTCCATCTGTGCTGACATTAATGATTGCCTGATCTTGTTCACCTGTGTTCCTGATGATTGCTCCATCTTATTCATATATGCCCCTGTTGATGACTGCTCCATCTCATCCCCCTGCTTCCCTGTTGATAATTACCCCATCTCATCTCCCTCATCTTGTCCATCTGTGCTGACATTAATGATTGCCTGATCTTGTTCACCTGTATTCCTGATGATTGCTCCATCTTATTCATATATGCCCCTGTTGATGACTGCCCCATCTCATCCACCTGCTTCCCTGTTGATAACTACCCCATCTCATCTGCCTCATCTTGTCCATCTGTGCTGACATTAATGATTGCCTGATCTTGTTCACCTGTATTTCTCCTGATGATTGCTCCATCTTATTCATATATGCCCCTGTTGATGACTGCCCCATCTCATCCACCTGCTTCCCTGTTGATAACTACCCCATCTCATCTGCCTCATCTTCTCCATCTGTGCTGACATTAATGATTGCCTGATCTTGTTCACCTGTATTCCTGATGATTGCTCCATCTTATTCATATATGCCCCTGTTGATGACTGCCCCATCTCATCCACCTGCTTCCCTGTTGATAACTACCCCATCTCATCTGCCTCATCTTGTCCATCTGTGCTGACATTAATGATTGCCTGATCTTGTTCACCTGTATTCCTGATGATTGCTCCATCTTATTCATATATGCCCCTGTTGATGACTGCCCCATCTCATCCACCTGCTTCCCTGTTGATAACTACCCCATCTCATCTGCCTCATCTTCTCCATCTGTGCTGACATTAATGATTGCCTGATCTTGTTCACCTGTATTCCTGATGATTGCCATCCATCTTATTCATATATGCCCCTGTTGATGACCCCATCTCATCCTCATCTCATCTGTGCTGACATTAATGATTGCCTGATCTTGTTCCCTGTTGATAATTGCTCCATCTTATTCCCATCTCATTTGCCTCTCATCTTGTCCTGTTGATCTTGTCCATCTTTATTCATATATCTCTGTGCTGACATTAATGATTGCCTGATCTTGTTCACCTGTATTCCTGATGATTGCTCCATCTTATTCATATATGCCCCTGTTGATGACTGCCCCATCTCATCCACCTGCTTCCCTGTTGATAACTACCCCATCTCATCCATGCCTCATCTTGTCCATCTGTGCTGACATTAATGATTGCCTGATCTTGTTCACCTGTATTCCTGATGATTGCTCCATCTTATTCATATATGCCCTGTTGATGACTTGTTCCCATCTCATCCCCCCTGCTTCCCTGTTGATAACTACCCCATCTCATCTGCCTCATCTTGTCCATCTGTGCTGACATTAATGATTGCCTGATCTTGTTCACCTGTGTTCCTGATGATTGCTCCATCTTATTCATATATGCCCCTGTTGATGACTGCCCCATCTCATCCACCTGCTTCTCTGTTGATAACTACCCCATCTCATCTACCTCATCTTCTCCATCTGTGCTGACATTAATGATTGCCTGATCTTGTTCACCTGTATTCCAGATGATTGCTCCATCTTATTCATATATGCGCCTGTTGATGACTGCCCCATCTCATCCACCTGCTTCTCTGTTGATAACTACCCCATCTCATCTGCCTCATCTTGTCCATCTGTGCTGACATTAATGATTGCCTGATCTTGTTCACCTGTATTCCTGATGATTGCTCCATCTTATTCATATATGCCCCTGTTGATGACTTGCCCCATCTCATCCACCTGCTTCTCTGTTGATAACTACCCCATCTCATCT